CTTCTAACTTGTGTGTTTGTTTCGGGAGAAAACCGCATGATGACGCTAGCTTGCGGCTGCATATCGCTGGACCGCTTCGCCTATGCTCATCGGCGAACTCTCTACTAATCTCTGGTTATACTGCTGATAAGCATCCATCTTTCAACAGACCGTAGGCGCATAGCGCGCCGTGATCCATCGCAGTCCCAGCTTCGATGTGCAATATTTCCAATTACTTTTCGGGGTGAAATGAAAAAATGAAAAAAGACAAAAGTAAAATACTGGATAAGCAGTTATGTGGATTAAATACGCGCTGTGCCCATTCACCTCACGTTTTCTGTTGCAGTTTGTGGGAATACGGAGACATTTTTTTTGTATTCGAAGAAACATAGTAGCGTCCTTTCCGACTGATTTTTCAGAACGTTGCGTAACTCCATGAGTACGTATATAATTGCGCTACGACCGCATTGACTTACTACAACTAAAAGACAATTTTGTAAGTTATATTTTTGAATATACCAGTTCTGACAACATCCCAGAATTACAAAATTTTATTGAATTTTAAAGACACATTCGTATGTATTAAAAATTTGAAACGTTATACCTGTATAGACAAATATTGTCTATTCGGTGCATTTTCCAGTTTTAATGTTCTTTGCAGATAAAATGTTGAACTCCTTGCTTTTAATACCATCAGACTTTTTTTTTGAGTAGCTTTCTAGTAATTTGGTATAAGTTATCGTGTTTATATTGTGATGAATATTGTTGTTTGTAACACAGAATTAAAGGATCACATCGAAGAAGGTGTTTCCTCTTACATAATAATTCTTGGAAGTAAGCTAACGATACATATCTCCAAAAAAAAACTTTAAATGAGCAACTTTTTATTTTTGACGAGGTTTTGTTGGTTGCAAGTTCGTAGTGGGGTGTTAAGGTTTCGCTTAATATTTTATAAAGACGTATTTAGTAACAGTTGGGGTCAATTTACTAATTTAACAATATTATTTGACGAATAATAATATGCCGGTTAGACAGAAATTAACCGTAACAGAACTGTGCTTTTGATATAGAATACGTAAAATGTAACTTACTTAGATTGTAGGTAGTGTGTCTTGTACTACTGTAAGTAGTGGTGGTAGGTAAAGTGTATTTAAAAATTGCTTTTGGTCTGGTAGACCCAGAAAAAGAAGAAACGATGCTGTCGCACCGTCCAGCGGTGGCAAGTCCAAGCACAAGATCGTAGGAGATGGAGAGAAATAATCGATGAAGCTAAGGGCGGGTATTATAAAGGTCGGGTTCACTTTCAACCCGCGGTTGATTTTATTTGTGTATTACAAAAACTATTGAACCTCGAATTCGTGAACCGGGAGTTGATTTGTATTACCTAACCTTGGCCACATTGCGTGAACAGCGTCAGCCAATCAAAGTCTTTGCTTTCTTGTAAGATTCGAGAGCTTGGTACCTGTGTATATATAGATACTTATTTATACATTCTACTGATTTAATTCATCAGATTTTTCTTGGTTCTCAACTAAAATTCATAGAATAGATGATACAATATTCTCTATGATCGTTACTTATAGCACTATTGTTTCCATTTAAAGCACTATTATTTTCTTGAGGCATTTCTTCTACATCCAACTGGAAATCGGGGTCTAGAGTTGGACTTCATTCATCTTTTGCTCTATGTTATACAATACTTCACATGCTGTAATGAGCGATTTTGTTGTATCTAGAGATATTCTCACACCAAGAGATAGTATAGGAAAGCGTCGTTTTAGAACACTGAACAATCGCTCAATTGGATCTCGAGTTCTAATTTGAGATTCATTAAATATGTTTTCTGCTTCTCTCTGTGGATTTCAAATTGGAGTGATTATATAGCTTGTTAAAGCATATCCAGAAACTCCAAGAAGAACAAAATTGTCAAGTTTTCTCCTTCCGAACCGACTCTGCAATTTGCTGCTGCTAAAAATGCTAAAAAAATATTTGAACGTGGGTTGCACCACGCTTCTACCTGCTTCGAACTCCCGGTTGAAATTTCAAACGAATTCCGCCTTTGGGTTGAATCAACCGTCACTGAACCGGCATTTCAACCGCCGGTTAGCGTTTATAATACCCAAACTGGCCTTCAACCAGGAAAAAAGGAGAAGTATTTAACTAACAAAAATTGTCTTTTAACATTTTCTAACACTCACGGGGATTTTCTGCAAGAAACCTTGTAAATTTTAACTTGTTTCCCCGTATCTACGAACATTTTAACACGATTTTAGAAGTAAATGTAACTGCTAATAAATTAAGGTATTAATCAAGTTTATGCACGATAGCAAGAAAGTAAAACCCTATTGAAACTACCTAAAACCCTAAAGTCAATTTTAGTTGTAAAATACAATTTATTACTAGCTGGGTTTAGCGCTCTTTAAGCTAAATGCCTACTATCTCTGATATCAGATCTAGTGGACAAAAGCGTGATATACGTACAAAATCCTATTATAAATCATATTGCGTATTTTATCACGTTTTCGAAAAAGGTGTGTGCTTACGTATAAATAATTTTTGTCTGAGCTGATTTCTTAGTAAATAGTATGCTTCTACGAGAACTTGGGAAGGCGAGTTCGAAAGGTTCAGATGTGGCAACATGACAAATTTTTGGAATACTTTATTATGTCATGATACACAATACATCCCTGAGTCACCTAACCTACACAGTTATTTACAATCATATTTACAGCATGTAAAATTTTAATTATCTATGTATATACCTGTGTGTTAAATAATTAATGACTGTCACATCCAACAATAATCCATTGAATCAATCAAGCAAAATGCTGATTCTTACTCTATATATATAAATAAGATACTAAATAGTCTCCTGAATATTTTGGAATGATACGAAGAATCTCATTTAATGGATGGATAACTATCTAATAAATACGAGCTTAAAATGTATAGCATATATTAACTTTACAATCTGTTTACCTTATAAATAACTTAAATATAATTTCAGTTTTATCACTTGAAGCTTCGTCAAGAAGTAGTCTTTGGCGATTTTAACGTTTACTTTTCATCATGCAAATTACTTTATTGGAACACATAATACCTACATAAATTACAAGGTTAATTTAGAGAACACTTTGATTGAACAATTCCTATCAATTTCCTAAACAAGCGTGCGTCATAAACAGTGATAAACCGAGATAAAATATTTTACATTTTTATAAGCATTTCAGTAGTTGTCGTTCATGACCACAGCTAGTTGTTTCGTAGCTTTTATTGAATAGTTTTAACACAGCAATAAACTTAAAACTTGAAACTTGCAAGAATTAGTTTTAAATCAGTTGGGTTAAGACAAATTAAATTCGGTACGTTAACATTGATGTTTTCAAATTAAGTTTTCGCTACATTGTACTTAATTTAATTTCCAGTATAAAGGGAACTTTGAAAAACAAAAACCAGAAAGTTACGGCCGTTTTGCAAATACAAAAAACAGCCCTAATGCACTATAACAGGACGATTACCATCATAATCCTTATGGCGCAATTTTCTAAACAAAATTATATTTTCAAAAAGTCAATTATTATTGGACTCTCTGCTGTTCTCATTGCTTCCAGAAGCAAAGTCGGGCTGAACCGAAGTGCTGAGCGATGTTGGAGAACTGCTGGTACTCTTCACGTTGGCAATAGGCTCAGGTGGGATCAGTCCCTCTTTCATCCTTTTTTTCTGCTTCATTCTTCGATTTTGAAACCAGATTTTCACTTGAGTTTCGTTCAGTTGGAGCGCTGAAGCTATTTCAATTCTTCTCGCTCTGAAGAAGTAAGATAAGTATTAAAAAAGAAAATCATAGGTGAAAACTAAAAATAATGAAAATTCCGCATTTTAATATTAAAATACTGCTTGACCTTGGTTTGACTTGATGCTATTGACCCTTCAGGTCAATCTTATGTATTGAAAAGCGCAAACTTTATTTTCAAAAAACTTTCAGTAAAACCATTTATAATCTTCTCTTTTTTTTCTTATATTAGGCCTCTTCTATGAGCCTGTTGTTTTCCGGTCTCTTTTTTCTATTGCTGCAGGGGTATTTGTATCGTAGGCTGCCAGCTACCTCTCCATCTTTCAAAGGGCCGTCCTGGAGTTCTGGAACCCGTTGGTTTCTTTAGATCCCTTGATATTATCTGGCCGTCCATTCGTGCAACATGCTAGTTCCACTCTCATCTTCTCTGTCTTCCCTATCGTACAATAACCTATGCCCTACATAGTGGCCTTAGTTGAATGTTTGGGATTCTGCCTCTCAATGTTTTGCCCGTTATTGATCTTAATGTTCCCATTCACTTTGTTTCTGCTGTTTCAGCTCTCGTTTCTATTGAATATGTTAGTATTGGCTTTGTGACTTAGATATGCTTATTTTTCCGTCCATCATATCTTTATTCCTCCAGATAACATTCCTTAAACATCCTGATACCTCAGCTAATTTATTAGCGTGCCTACACATTCTTTTAGGTCTCCGTAGCTGGATATTTACATTCCCAGATGTTTGAACTTATACACTTATTCGATTATTTCTCCGTTAATTACGATTTTGCATCGTCTGGGATCCCTTGCTATCAGGAGCGATTTGGTTTTAGGAGCGCCAAGCGGTGTAGGTTATGTTCATTATCCTAGATCAGAATGGGTCTTCCCTTTTTTCTTGCTCCTATCATTTTGCCCATTAATAGTTGAATAGGCTTAGGCTATCTCCCTGACGTATTCCAGATTTAACATCTACTTCCAATGTCTACTAAACTGCTGGGCTGGTTTTCTTCTTTAAGTAATTTTCGCATATGTCCCAGTCTGACGCGATCAAAGGCTTTAGTCAGGTCCACGAAACACATGTAACCAGGATTGTCATGACCCCTATTACCCCCATGACACCCCCCCCCCTGGACCCGTCCTTGGTCTATTGCAGGTTCGTTATGCGTCTCATTGTAGAGTTTTCTAATGTAAGCTGTCAATTGTTCTGCTTCTATTTTTTTTGAAGTTAAAGTTATATATATTAATAGGTTGTGTTCTCCCTTTAAACATTTTCTACACTTTGCGCTGCCCTCCATATAAAGGTCGTATTCGATTTCTTTAGAGAATCAAAATTATCTTTGTAGGTTTCTTATCTAAGAGTTTACATGGTTTCTTGCATCTTTGGATTGCTTATAATTCTTAGGCGACTTATAACTACAAGCTTTTCTTCGCACGCTAAATATCTTTTTACCTTAGTAAACCATGGCTTTGATCCTTTTGTTACATTTACGTAAAGTTGCCTAACTTCTATACTTTCGTTTGCCGCCTGTAATATGTCCGATTCTATTTTTGTCCACAGTTCGTTTACATTATCCTCTTTTTTTAATGAATTGATCTTAAATCTTTTTTCTAGCCCGTCTTTTTCAAGCCACTTCGTAGATTGGTCCTCTAAAGACTCTATGTTTAACTTTTCGGCATATTTGGGTGTCATTTTCTTGTTTGTTTAGGTACAATTTCTCTGGTGGTTATTATGTAATCTATTGTTGAAAGCTGGCCCTGTGTATTTTGTCATGTGTACTTTTGTTGAGGTTTATGTTTGTTTGTTTATTCATAAAATATTTAAAGCGCCGAATTCAGTATGACGTTCTCCGTTTCGGTTTACCATTTCTTCATTTAATCGTTGTTTAATATTGTCCATACTATTATTTCCCACTCTGGCATTAAACTCTCTAAGCATTACGAGATTTTCGATCCTCTGTATTTTGTTCAGCAAGTCTTGTAAGGTGTTTGTAAGAGAATGTGCATATTTCCATTTTGTGAGTATTTATTTCTATAAGTATCTCTTTAGTTTGTTAAATTGTTAAATTTTTGCCTTGAAATTTGAGACATTGCATTCTTTAACTGTAATTTACCTGTAAGGGAGTTAAATACTTTTATACATACAATGGGAGACTCATCTGTTTATTTTGTGCCGTTAAAAGTGTCTTTAACAAACATTAACTAATTTGAAAAATGAAGACATTTGATTTAACTCAGTATTTTCTTCAATAAATATTCAAAATCTTTGCCATAAACTAGCTGAAAATATCCTAAACGGAACTGAAACTCCTATAAAAATAAATGGCTTACCTCGTAAGATATTTATTGAAATGAAACTCCTTTTCCAACTCAGTCAGTTGCTTGTTCGTAAAGTTGGTTCTGCCAGTGTTGAGGCAGTTTATGCTCAAAAGACTAGAAGCATTTGACCCCAAGCAGGCGTTTCTAGATGCTGGATTTTGAGGTTCTAAACTTGGCCCGTTTTGAGCTGCGGCGGCATAATCGCTCAAGACTGGAGAAACTTTAGGCCCTGAAAATTTAATGATGCTATATAATTAGGTCTTTTCCAAAATCAAAAAATAGACGTAACCAAGTCTGGTAGCAGATTCTTAAGATTCACTTAAATGGGTCATTTTACTAATTTTCGACAAATGCTGCTTCTTTCGAAAAACGGGCTTAACGGGGGAAACGAAAGATTAGTTCCCAAAAATTGTTGCAAACTTGCAGATTTCAGGTCAAAAAAGTTGATCTAATTTCTACTTTATACAACTAATGATTTACTTACTCTATTTGTGTTTCGTAAGGTTTTAAGATACCTTACATATATGGATTATACATTCCTACATATTACATGAAACAACTTCTCTTGTTAGAAATTGGTCATATGTGGTCAATAAAAAAAATTGTAATTATACGAAAGTACCAGTAAATAGAAACATGTTAGCTGTAAAAAGGCAAAGATCTAACGTATTTTTTTCAATTTAATAAAATTCGGACAAGTGTTTCTTAAACGAATTTAGCGGAATATTCATATACCTACAGTATGCTTATGCTTTATCAAGAAAGTTAATAAACGTTGTTTTTAATGCTTCCTGTGTTCTAATTCATTTGTTAAAAATTTCTCTCTATTCATTCTCTGCAATATAGATGAGCACAAAATATTTCCTGTACTAAAAAAAAATCGCAAATATATACATGTAAAGATCCATGTAATTAATTATCCACGTTCCATTGCAGATTTATTTCAATTTAGAAAACACGTTTTCGGAAGTTATAATAGTAGGTTTTAGCTTGACGGGAAAATTGTAATGTTCACTAACTGAAAATAATTCAAATATTTGAAGTAGTGCATTGAACAATATCATTAGCTTCATTGTTTAATTATTTATCAGCGGAAGTTTGTCTCCATGTACTTTTGCTGAAGTTTTAGGAAAAGCAACCGAGCGTTTAGTTATTGACAGAACAAAAAGATGAGAAGAGAATGGGCGATTCATCAACAATGGGAAATACCAAGACTTTCGATCCTACACGTCAAATAGTAGCCATTGGCGCAAGCATTCCTTAGCCCACAGTAGATAATTTCGGAAATACCGGATGTTTAGAGTCGTAATTGTAGAACGTTTTTTGCCGATAAATCGAAAGCGCACGTGTAGTACTTTTAGGGTTTATTGGGGCTTGACTTACAACTCGAATTCTCAGAGTACATTCAAAATCAGAGAAAAAAACTACTAAGGTCCGGTTGTACAATGGAAGCTTAAGCTTGAGTTCAATTGAAATCGGACTTACAGTACGACCAGGATAGCTGTGAGGGCCTAACTTCGTCAAAGATGCGCGGGTGTAATAAGAGCAAGTATTCGGAGGAAAAGAGATAAACGAACAAACGCTATGAAGTACACTCTGAATGAAAATTTTGCCTGCGGGATAGTGCATATAGATATGTCGTGTCATTTTAAAGATACAGGCTCGTAAGTAAAACTTTCTCTTCCAACTGTACACAGAATCGAACGCTATCCGTTTTTGGCTGACTCCGCCTAATTTTGCCAATGCGCACAAATATAATATAATGACCGCTATCTTGGTCGTACTGGTAGCGCTCGGACAATATTGCGTTTGAAATTCGTACAACCGAAATGTACACTTTAATTTGGCTTGAGCTGGGATTCAACTATTTTGGTGTTACCGACCCTAAAAAAGTCAAACACATTCGAGCGCTAACTTCAAAATATGAATGGAATGAATCAACGTCCCAACATTAATTAAATAGAATCCATAATGCAATTTAAAAAACAGTACAGAATGCAGGGTTTAACAGAAATAAAATCTAATAGAGAAACAATTCTTGTATCCTGTGAAAACACAAACCAATATCATAAAACTCTGCCTCAGTAAGCAACGATTTAAGCAAAAACATTTTTAGACTAATTTTCCTGCGGTCCACCTTATCTGAACACATTTTTCGGCAACATTTTCCCATATTTTTTATAAAAAATTAACACGCAATTTACGTGAAAGGAACACACTCAATCTCTAAAGTAGCTGAAGACTAAAAAAAGTCTGCATTTTCCCGTTAATAAAGTAATCGTGTTTCTTGTCACCCAACTTTATCTGACATGTCTAGTTGATTTTCAGGGAAACTTTTACTTAAGTTGGGGACATGAAATCCTACAATATCTCCGGAGAAATCTAGAACTTATCGGGGGCTTGAATTTATGGTTCTGGGAATTTTTGTTAACTTTGACTTTCAAAATTAGTATACACTGTATTTTTTGCATTGAACTTTCCAGGTGAATCGGTTAACTTAAGTGCAAACCTAGAACCTTTTTTTATTATTTATAAAATTTATCGATTTGATTTAACTCTCCGCTTTTATATCTAATCTGCTTTCATGAAATGAAAACTCGAAAGAAGGGACAAGATAACAACTGGGAGTAATTAACTCATCAGCGTAACGTGATATTTAGTATGCAAAAACAATTAATTTTGGGAAATTAACAGCTAATATTTAGCGACTTGCCGTAGGTCAAGATTAGTTCAAAAATAGCAACGAATCGAACGTTTTGAGCAAATAATTCGGATGTAATGCCCAATTAATCAAACTTAGCAGTGCCATCAATCCTCATTAAAATTAGATATTAGACGTTGGCCTATCGACAGAGCGACCATTTAATTATGACAGTCAATTAATTTATCAAACAAATTTTCATTCGAGATAAGGACACCTGTCCGGACCCACGGCATATCGCTTTTCTCAACCAGCTAACATCGATTCTTAAAATATTTTAAGTGGCTTTTAGGAGTACCAAAAAATTTAGTTCAGCGTGATGTAATCGACATTAAACGATCTACTTGGTAAGAGTTTTTAATTGGTGTGGTGCTTTTATCAATTTAGTTCGACAATGCTTCCTGTAATATCGTCCTACGCAATATGTGTAAACCCGATTTTCCTACACTTTTCATTTCGGATTACCACGACATACTCTACAAGACTGCATATGGTTTTTATATTATGTAAAGTATTACTTGTAAAACCTAAATACTATGTACAATACAATACAAGTATATTCTGTGAATGTAGTATACCTATATTTATAACAACAAGAATAACAAGTTGTATTTATCGCCGTTGATATCTGTAATGAAGAGTTATCATGGATTTGGGCATTGTTATTGAAAAACACATAACAATTGGTTGGTCTTTTGTAAAATATTTCCGCAGACATTCTGTAAAGAAAACTTAATGTAGTTTAATAAATACTCTTAAGAGAGGAATCAACCTGGATAGTAGATATCTGTTTAACACAGCCAAATAAGACATACTCTGTGTGTAATCGGTTCACATTCTAATAAAGCACACAATTATTTTTTTATTGTGCCTGAATTAGGACTCCATGAATCTTAGAATCTGGCCAGTGTGTGGTCAAATGGAACGTAATTATTGGCGAATTTTTCGGATTTTCAGGATGACGTGAAATAATCTTTCTTCCAGACGTTTCGCAAGCACGATTGGCTTGCATTTTAGGAGATTTGTTCACTTTTTTTCAAGTTTTAGCCATCCCAATACCTCCGGAGATGCAAGCCACTCGTGCCTACCAAAGGCCAGAACGAAATTCTATTTTTTTTAAATCACAAGATTTAAGGAAGGATGGAAAATACATCTTAATTCTAATCTATTTTTTTGGACTGTATGTATGTATAGCCATCACTGCCGTTATGTTCATGTGAAAGTTAGTGTGTCGTGAAAGTCGTGAAAGGAAATTCAAAGTCAGTCACAGTTTGACAAATTATTGTTATTATTGACAAGGGCTATCAAGAGAACTTTTTTGATATCAAAAATTTTCGTAATTTTAAGTAAAGATCGTAATTTTTCTTTTTGAAAGCTTAAGTATTCCAATATGCTACCAATTAAAAATGGAACAATTTCTTAATAATGCTTAATAACAAAGTTATTAAGAGCTCTTTAAAAGAAAATAATTAAATATGATCACATATTTAAACTAGCTTTAAAGCCTTAATACATGCTTAGCACCACGCCAGATAATTTAAAAATATAGTTTACATTAAAGCAAGCCATGAAAAATAGCATATTTTTGTGGAATGTTGACTGTGGTTCTGAAGATAACGCAGAACCAAAAGAAATGTTCAACCTATGAACATATTTGTCTATATGTTCAGGGTGATTCAAAATTGCCGTCATTCCTCTGGAGGTGTTGTCTGGGGGTGCTCTAGGAGTACAGAAAAAATAGTGAAGAAATTTACTGTTATTAAAAACTGATAAATTTACAAAAAAACTACATAAGAAAGACGGACAACAATGTTTTCCAAAGTAATCTGCCTAATTAACATTACGTAAGTACTTGTTGCTTCGTAATTATTAAACACTTCGGTAACCAATGAATTATACAGAAAGTGACAATAAAATAAGCAAGGATCAACGGTAAATTCAACAGGATTCTTTGATTGGCTGAACGTACTTTTTCGAACTGTCAATTATTGTCCTCATGACCTCAAATTGATATATTTACAAATAAACATACATTTGAGTATTTAACTCCAAACAACTAAGTGCCTGTGTAATGTGTTTATTATGCACTCTTCTCGAGCAGCTTCTCGTATTGGGCGAATTAACTCCTGCTCAATTTGTACCGGTGTTCAGTAAGCCGTTGGTTTAATGTGCCCTGGAACTTTGTGTATCTTACATACGTGGTAGGAATGTAGCTCTTCCTCGGTATTTATTTGGTGTCTGGGAAAGTGTCAGTTTTTGTGCAATGCTCTGAGTACCCTTGGAAGGATCTGCTCTCTAATACATGTTCCTCTGTGACTCGAACCCGAACATCTATTGTCGACCACTATTTTTCTGGAGCCAATGTTCCAGTGTCTAGCCCTTTCTTGGCGTGAGTTCTTACAGCTTCGGCTTTGTTACTGTGGCATTTCCCCAGAAGTAATCGCATATCAGCAAATCCGTAAAAAGAGCTTCAAAGTAAGCCACAGTTTCACAAATTATTGTTATTATTCGCAAAGGCTATCCAACTG